CTTGAAAAGGGGGAGGAACAGAGAAGAAAGGATCAAACAGCATTTTACACAATGCAGAGGATTAATCCCTTAGGTTCCACAGTGAGTATAACAAGCATGGTTTACTGCATCTACAGGCTGATTTTACTGTTATGGGTTTAGTAACACTTTAATTAATTCAGCAGATCTCTAAACTGAACTGGATTGACCACTTGAGAGGCTCTCACTCTTCCACATTTTTATTATGTAACACTATAGGGCATTCAGCAAAAGCATATCATTAACATTCCATGAAGGATAGACAGAGCTTGAACGTGTTCTCATTGATGGAGTTCCCAAGAAATATATGAAATCAGTGGGTGATTCAACTCACCTTGGTGCACTTAGCATTTTAAGAATATAAAGGATTTCTTAGTCTGAAATGCTGGTGTTCTAAGGCTTATTCCCAAAGGGCATTTTAACATTTCTTAAGGGGAAGCTATAATGGTTATTGCTCCTTTTGTTTTTTATTTTTTAAAGGAATATGATTAGACATTGTAGAGGTCAACATTATTTCCAAAAAAAGTCCTGTATACAGAAGGATAGGAGAACAATCAACTTAAAAATGTTTTGCACATGGTCATGAGGCTAAGAAAACGAGAGGAAGGCTCTACATTTGTTACTTGACATTGTACCATTTCTGTTTTTACTTTATCTAAGGATAATGGAGTTTTAAAAAAATGTACACAAAGTAATACAAGACAGTTAAAGATGGTTTGATGGAATAAAGTTTGGATAAGCAGATTTTTTTTCCAAACTAGGCTATTAGATGTACTTTATGTTAAACAATAAAATCCTTACTTTCTTCATTTCATTGTGCCAAATATATTTTACAATTAATTTGGCAAATTACATTGCATTGTGCATTTCTCCCCAAGAAGGGATTTACAATGAGGCTGCACTGAGAATAAACTACAGAGTTTTTTGTTATGTCAACAGAAATTCCTGATGGCGATTCGTTGTCCGGCAGCTGTAAATTATTGCAGGCTACAGGGTGTCTGTGGTGGTATAACTAAACTATTCATTGCTCATATTGATTTACAAGCAGTACTGTTAGGAACATACAATTAATAGTTGGCTTCATTGGCAGCCAGCTGTTATCACCATAATTTACAAGTCAAACAGTTTGTTTTAGGAGAAGAAAGAAAAAAAGAATTATATTGGTTACTGTAGTTTTCAGTGACTTGAAAGGTCAAATTCATGTGCCATCAATCTCAACCAATATTATAATGTTGCTGAAGTGAGAAAGATATAATTTAGCAACATCACTTTCTATAGTTAATCAAACAATAGGGCTGATTTGTGATTTGAGTAATGCGTAAATTGAGGAAGTTATTCATAGTTTGTTTAAAAATCCTAATAAGTGAACTTTTCTTCATTATGAATTCAGTGACAATTTATGATAGACCAAGAGACTGGAAACTGGAGACTGATATAGAAAAAGAGATATCATTCTTATAAGCCCTTCCTTATTGCTACATAGAAAAAGCCTAATACAAGGCAAAAATAACACGAAAACAAATAAAACAATGAAAAAACAGGGCTTACAAAAGGGCAAATAAACAACAACAAATGAAAAAAAAACATCTTTTGTTAGACAGAAAATTTTGAATGGTGTAGGGAAGGACCCCATTCATGTTGTTTTTTTTTGCTGATTATGTACTGTTGAGAAAATTTCCTTTCACTTCCTGTCCCAGGAAATTAAAGAAAAAAAGAAAAAAGGGGAGAAACTCCACTCTTAGAAAGTTTTTCCCAGAGTAGATGTTCCCTCTGGAAGATTCCACCTCACCTCTAACTCTAAAATTTTGGAATTACCACTCACTTTCTTTCCCAGTGACAATGGTCAACAGCATTAAAAAAAGGTTAATCTCTCCAGTGGAGGCAACAGCAAAAACCTGGTGGGGGCGTAACCCTTCCCCACTCTACAAGGCAAAAAAAGTTTTTTCCTAGAGATACGCTTTTTAATAACCTTTTATTAACATAGAGGTAAACTTTAAATAACATGATGACTTAAAAAATTACTGAAATAGGTAATGACATCACTAGGTCCCACCGAAGCATTTCACCATTAGATTTCATGTAGCCCCTGGAGGAAAACTTTGAGGCTGATTTAAAAAGGTTAAGAACCCTCACACAAAAATTATGTAAATGTTCACTTAATTTATCCAATCATGTAAAAAAGTAAATTCCTGTTCACTTTAGATACCAACAAATTTGCTTGTAGTTTTCACATGATTGGATAATAATTTAAGTGCATATTTACACTTTTTTTTTTAGTAAAGAATCTTAAATTATTTAGTAAATCAGCCTTCTTATGTCACTTTCCTGCTTTTCCTGGTGCTGTAGTTTTAGCCTTTTTTTTTGTTATTACATATTGAACAAAATGGTACAGTAGTTAAAGTCATCTAAGTTTCAACCTAAGATTATTTTACATGGTACTGTATGAAAATCAGTCAGTGCCACAAGGAAGAAAACAATCCCCTTTGGCCACCATGCCTGAAGCCCCATACAAGGTATAACAGTAAACTAGACTGCAGACATCTTACACACATTTTCCTTTTCAACCCTGTCCTAAGCAATGACGCATGTGTATGTGGTGTTTTAACCAATTCAAGTCCGGACAATTCCACTCCCTTCCTGTCCAGGCCAATTTTCAGCTTTCAGCGCTATCACACTTTGAATAACAATTGCACGGTCATGCAACACTGTACCCATATGAATTTTTTTAGCATTTTTTTAAGACAGATAAAACTTTATTTTGGTGGTATTTGTTCACCACTGGGATTTTTATTTTTTTGCTATACAAATAAAAAAAGTCCAAACATTTTGAAAAATAAGTGTTTTTCTTATAAAATTTAACAAATAAATAATCTTTCTTCATAAATCTTGGCCAGAATGTATTCAGCTATCTTTTTAACTAACTCACATTAGTTTATAACCAAAAATTTAAATTTTTGACATTTTTATTTTATTTTTTGATATTATTATTTATGTTTTTTTTAACATACTCATAATCATCACCATAATTACACTGTACTACTTGTGAGGGGTGATGAAGATTTTTTTTATTTTTACACTGATTGCTTTTACACCCATAAAGGCTGTAAAAGCAATTGTGTCTCCTTCTCTATGGCTGCATTCTTGCAGTCATTGAGAAATACTGTGTGAGCTGTGATTGATCACAGCTTGTCACATGGTACAAGGCTGTTGCTAATAGCCTTGTACCATGTGACCTCTGTGATCATTCATAGATTTCACTAGTAGTAAGCAATGATGTCAGAAGTGACATCTTGCTTACTACTATTCATGTGATCACTGATTGGCCAATCAGTGATCACATCATCGAGGCCTCAGAGACACAGAGGTCCCGTACAGCGATTTTGGTCCTCCGGACACAGCGGGCTCCGGACTGCGGTGCTGTTTGTTCCCAGGGAGTTCACACAGGCAGGGAAGCGGGAGGACGTTTATAAACTGCCACCCACTCCTGCACTGCTCCCATCCGGCCATTTATATACATAGGACGGAGAGGAAGTGGTTAAGGGTCGATAATGCATTATAGCCATGTTATACATTTACTGGCAAAAGCAAAAGGAACTTTGGTGAATTAAATGTTCACATTTAGAACACCACACCTACCAAGCATATTTAAAGTAGAACTTTGCCCACAAGAACTTTCTAAAAATGAATGTTCTTTAAGAAGGAACACACATTCCACATGAATAATCATGCAACCAAAATTACTGTGTGTTGTAAATTGCCTCCAGTATTGTTCCTGTTTTTTCTTGGTGGAGGCTGCCATTTTGTTGAAGCCCAGAGTCCCTGATCAGCAGCAAATCCTTAGGCTATCAGACCTCTACATTTTAGGCAGTGCCAAAAAATAAGGAGCAACTGAGCATGTGCAGAGCAGGGTAAGACGGTCTTTTACTGGATTTTAAACAGTAACAGTACAGGCACTTATTTTTAATGTTTTACATAGCTATACCTGCAAAAGGGGCCAGCGTAGAGTGATCAAGCAGAACTTAACTTTCTGACTAAAGTTCCACTTTAACCTACAGTTGCCAATTACCACCCTTGGAAGCTCAGGGAACACTATAAATAATGGCTTGCCTAGAACTCACATCGTTGTGTAACACTCACTTTTGTTTTACACATTTGTCATTGCACCATTGCCAAACGCATAAACTTTGTTGCCAGACAATCTTTCTCAGCAGAGTATAAAGGAATGTAAGGAGCCAGAAAAAAGTAGATTTAAACACCACATCTGGTGGAGTGGAGTGCCCTTGGATGGAGACAGTAGGGAGATACACTGGTAATCTTAGATGTATTATAGAGTCACCAGCCAAACTTCTGCCATAGATCATTATTCACTCTTCTTAACAGTGATCATGTAATTCACAAATACATTACATACATAAGGAATGTACAGCACATAAAACACACCTATAAAACAGTAGAGAAACATACTGCCAATCCCTGGTTTACTGTAGAGTCATCAGTCCATCTATATCACAACAGGCATACATTCCTGTTTACATTTTACATATTTATATAGCTTCAGGATTTTCAGAACAAGGTGCCAAACATCTTCAATTATCATTGTACAGTATAAAGATCTAGTTAAAGTTGAAACTCTACAGTATAATGTTAAAAACATAAATGCATATTCTATATACAGAAGTTTTTTTTGTGATTAGCACCATTAAGCACATTAAATGCAAACTGTGTTTGTGATGTTATGTAACAATCTACACAACTCTCTAGGACTAGAAAAGGCTAAGCTCACCCTTTTATCACTCAATGGAACAATATAGCATTAAAGTGTTACTAAACCCAGGACCCCGCATTCACTATATCTGGTCTCCCACAGGACACACAACATGGAAATGCAATTATTGTAGTAAATATAAGCTGCTAAATACCTTTTATCATCAGAAGTTAGAGCAGTATTGTGATTTTATCAGTGTCAAGCAGAGCAGTGGTTAAAGTGTTACTAAACCCACTAGGATAAATATAAAGTTTTTGCTGTTTCTGAAAATGAAGCACATTAAAGTATTACTTTAATATTGTTATACTCACTGTGGAGCCTAAGGGGTTAATCTTCTGCATTGTATAAAAAGACTGTTTGATCATGGCTTCTCTGATCCTCCCCTTCTTCCAGGGCCCCTCTTATCTCCTGATAAGACATATCGTGTGGAGTCACTCTGCACATGCTCAGTTTGGTGTGTATTGCTAGAGAGCTTTTTTTTTCTTGGAGAGTGCATGTGATCAGCACAGGGCCAATCAGCACTGTCCAGACAGAGGTCAGGGATTCTGCATCCTCCTAGAGCAAAACGAAAACTCCTCCTACAAGCTTTAACCAGTGCTCTGCCGGACACTGATTGAAGTCACAAGACTGCTCTAACTGCTGATGAGAAAAGGTATTTAGCAGTTTATGTTTACTAAAATAATTGCACTTCCATGTTCTGTGTACTGTGGGAGACCAGATATAGTGAATGGGTTTAGTAACACTTTAAAGTTTGTAGGAGGAGTTTTTATTCTCCCCTGATTGTCCTATGAGGCTGCCAGACCCCTGACCCTCTGTCTGGACAGTGCTGATTGGCTCTGTGCTGATCACATGCACTCTCCCAAGAAAAAGAAACCTCCCAGCAATACACACCAAATTGAGCATGTGCAGCTTACCCCCAAGGCTCTGTTCTATCAGCAGATGGATTGGGGGCAGTAGAAAAAGTGGAAGATCAAAAAAGACAGGATCAAAAATCCTTTTTTACACAATGAGGAGGATTAACCCCTTAGGTTCCACAATGAGTATAACAAACATGCTTTACTGCATATACAGACTAATTTTACTGTTGTGGGTTTAGTAACACTTTAACCTCTTTCCCACTGCCCTCTAGCAGATATACTGTTTCAGGGTGGCAGGGGTGCGCAAAATCACATATATATATATATATATATGTGATTTTGCATTTCCGGGTAGGGAGCGCGTGCAAGCCGCGCGGCGGACCCTACATGCGCCGCCATATGTGGCTGTCAATCACCAGGTCTCAGCCAGTGATTACTCTCTGGCGCCCGGTGATTACCCAGCATCTCCAACGGGGAGGAGGACTGTTTTGTTTACTAACAGTTCTCCTCACTGTCAGCTCAGGCACACTGCTTTGGATGGCTGTGCACAGGAACGTGCACACGCAGGAACGTGAGTTCCAGCTATGTGAACATGTGACAGCCTGACAGCTGAGTGTCGCCATCCACTCTCTCCTATGTGCTTGTGTAAAGACGGTCATACACTATGCAATCTGGTTGTATAATCTCTTGTACAATGTTAAAGTGAGCCTTAAATGCAAAAAGTGTTCAATGTGTACACAAAACTATGAGAGCTTGGAAAAGGAACCACCTCCAAACAATCATATATAATAGATAAATGGTGCAGCGCTAAAAACTAGAGTACAGTTTATACACACAATATATATAAACATGCATGATATCACTCTGAGGGTGATCAATAAATACAAAAGTTCAGTGTAATAGTGCGGATCATGGAAAGATCCCAATTCAAGGTGAATGGACGTCCTGATCCAAGGTGTTGGTAAGTGTGATCACACAAATAGGTGGAAAACGCACTCACCAGATGTGCGTTTTTATGTAATCCTACCAGGCCATAAAACGATCATGATCCCAGATCAGATTGTACCCAGATCACCATCTCAGTTCCACAGTAAGTCATTGAAACCGCTACAGGTATCACCACCAGGGTCCTGAGTCCTCCAGATGGGCACTGCGAATGATAGCACTCACACAGAGTGCCCAATAAGAGACCTCATAGCGTGATACTGCTTTAGATGCTTTTACAGGGTGTTGTTGGTGTGGGGTACATACAAAAATAAACCAAAAAGTTACTGACCATATGCATTCCTAGGTGGTTAGGTGTCCTGCTGCTGCTGCCCCACTGACGCGTTTCGTGCGATGCACGTATTCATAGGGTCCAGCCCTGGACCCTATGAATACGTGCATCGCACGAAACGCGTCAGTGGGGCAGCAGCAGCAGGACACCTAACCACCTAGGAATGCATATGGTCAGTAACTTTTTGGTTTATTTTTGTATGTACCCCACACCAACCAACCCTGAATAAAAAGCATCTAAAGCAGGGCTATGAGGTCTCTTATGGGCACTGCAAGTGCTATCATTCGCAGTGCCCATCTGGAGGACCAGGAAATACCTGGTATGTGCCTGTGGAACTGAGATGGTGGGGTACTCTGATCTGGGATCTGATGATCGTTTTATGGCCTGGTGACGCAGGATTACATATCGCGTATATTAAACGCACATCTGGTGAGTGCGTTTTCCACCTATTTGTGTGATCACACTTACCATCACACCTTGGATCAGGACGTCCATTCACCTTGAATTGGGATCTTTCCATGATCCGCACTATTAACTGAACTTTTGTATTTATTGATCACCCTCAGAGTGATATCATGCATGTTTATATATATTGTGTGTGTATAAACTGTACTCTAGTTTTTAACCATTTTTAATCTCTGTACAATTTCCTTTAGATTCACCAGAACTATGGACTTGGAGGACCCACCTAAAGAATCTATTAAATTTGTATCAAATCAGACAGGCACTTGAACTACATGCTGATGGGAGATCAAAAGGAGCTGTACAATCATATTGTAATGTGTATGGTCTTTCGAGTGTGTTGCCCGGTTCCTTGCTTCATAAGCCAGTTATAGACTGGGGCGGGTGCCATGTTTTACTTTACTGTTGATATTAAGTGGGTGCACTGGGCGCCCTGGCTGCCATTGTGCTACATGCTGGGTGTCCCTTGCACTCCTGTACCTTTAAAAGGGGTGGGCTCCCTGATGTGCACCTGCCCTTGATCTATCCTTTAAATACATGTGCCTCTACTATGTGGGCTCTCAAATTTGTAGAGTTAGGACCACAGAATATCAGGGTGCCGTGATGTGGCTCTGTGGCTTACGTATGTATTTGCAAATATGTGCTAACTAAACCCCTGTTTTTAACGCATATTGTTAGACAGTTTAATTTGTTGTTGGCAAGCTGGCTGGCGAGTTGATTTTTGAACCATTTTTTTTTTTTTTTTTGTAATGTGTGTGTGGTCACCTTAGGGAAGAAGAAGGAAAGTGAATAGAAATAAAACAAGAGGTAGTGGTATAGTAATGTGGATGAGGTAAGTGAGAGATAATAACATTGGAATGGCTGGGCAGAAAAATTACATTATAAAACACTTCTATTTATTATGAAAAGTGAAATTCTGCCAAAAAAAAGGTGAACTTAGCCTTTGATTTTAACATAAAACATTTTATGGGTTTGAAATCTTATCAACACCTTCCCTCTTCTATAGATCTATGTGTAGTGAGGAAAGAGGGGGTCTGTCTCATAATAATAATATGATCAAGTTTTATGACCTTAACCAGTCCCCACCCCAGCCAATAGCAAAATGTCGGCTGAGCAGGACATTAGTTTATCCAGGTTGGCGTCATACAACGTCCTCCAGGATCACCGCATCACATGCACCCGTGGGGTCATGTTGTGGTGAAATCTGTCACCAACTGTGTCCACTGGACACAGCTGATGACCGATCTGTGTACCGGCCCGTTGCTGGTACCATGGGACCACTGTGACCAATCACACCAGGTCCCATGACAATTGTAAACAATGGATGTATTCCTTTCATGCCATCCATTGTATACAATTGTGTTGTTGCTAGCTGTGATTGCTCACAGTGAACATATGGTACAGACTGGGTCAATCACAGCCCATCAGTGTCATGTGATTAGCTGTGGCCAATCACAGCTAATCACAACTAAAAACACTGAATGAGTTGATTTCATTCACTTACATGCTTGCCTATAGCAGTGAAATTCATTGGCCAACTGTTGATGAATGTTCCTCACTCTGGAGCCGGCGTGCTTTCCAATAGCCGGGAGCGGAAGAGACGTCTATGGACCCAGATGTAGCTGAAAATGACAACCTGCCTCTACATGATTTGCCAATCTGGCATCATAAGGAAGCTCCTGAGACTCCAGAGTGATGAGTGGAGGTTAGCGCAGAAAAGCTGAGTGTACAAGTTCTGAGGACTGGGCACCAACAAATGTGAGTGCATTCTTGATGTTTATATGGAAACACATTTTATTAAACCTTTTACACTATAAGAGTTCTCTTTTCTGACCTATGTGGATCTGAAACTGTGGATTTAATAGGAGAATATAGAAAAGAAATCTACTGTGAGCATAAACCCTGGTGACACAAACTGCAATTGACCTTCTTTTAATTAAGGGGTCATGAAGAGTTGAAGGGTGCAATATATTGGCACATGGTGGTGGAGTACTAAGAGGTTTTCGCACGAAGATTTATACCAAGTGTCAGGATCGCAGCGTCAGACCTCAGACCTTATCACCAAAACTTGTGACTGAAGGGCTAGCCAACCTATAATCGCGATATGACATGTGTAACAATGCCACACCCAGCTGCACCCTGCACAACGATTTTCCAGCTAATGGGTACCGATCGACATGCCAGCAGCCTGAATCGATTATTACTGGGTCAGGTTAATTACGCAATTAACCATTTCACACTGCCACCACCTCCTTTTTGTTCAGAGAAAGAGGAAACTCGCAATATCACTATAACACTATAATAATTGAAATAATCGTCCGCATAACCCGATCATTGACACAGGCCAGTTATACAGAGAGTTAAACCAACAGTAGCGTCTCTTTAAAGGCAGGGATTCATGAATTGCAATTAAGAGTTATAGAAACAGTTCAACACTTTCAGAAGAAAGGTTTATTACTAAAAGGGTCAAACAGGTGCAGTAAAAATATTTACAGAGAAGATGTAACTAAGATATATATATATATATATATATTACACATAGAAAACAGCACAGCACAGCAAAGAGATAACAGGGAGAAGTTAAAGGGTTAAGTTACTTGCCCTTAAGCCTTGGATGGAAGCAGATCACGTTTCAGAGCGAAAGGCACAGGTCTCCCCAGGTGGTATATTGATGTTAAGAATTGGAAGATGTTTTCAACTTAAACTTCCTTAGGCTTGGCAGTTTGTTTTAAAGTTTCCCAGCAGGGGGTGGTTCTGAAGTGAAAGACCAATCCCCTGTTTAGGGAGGGATCGTCAGGCGGAACCCTAAACTGGAACCAACATCTTTCATAATTCATATTCTGGTCTATAACTTTCCATCTGCACAAGCGACAGTCCTCCCGTGGGTATATTATTATGCAGACAAGTCTGAGGATTATTTAGATATGAATTATGAAATTATATATTGCACGGTTCACGAGTTCTATGTTTCGGCTCCCCTGATGGTCCGAGATAAGCGAGTGACCTGTCAAACTGTTCGCCTGCTCATTGGCCATCTGACGAGGTGTCCGGTTTTTATGTAAGTCTTTCATATTCCAAGATATGAGACATAGGGGAGAAATTGATTTGAGAAGTGTTCATCTAATTCTGTCACCTACGCTGAGCTAGGTTTATTAGCTCAGAGTCCCTTCAACTCCTGGGAAGGCTCCTTATCTTGTTATGAGGTGTGAAATTACACAGGTACTTTGGCCAGTGAGACTCCAGCTCTCTTGGGAAAACTGGTCCTATCTCTTTCTAGGTGAGAAAGGATACAGCTTTCACAGACAGCTCAGCACCAGCTAGAAATGCCTTGCCTTGCCAGTGACCCATAAATAGTACACATACACACACTGGCCAGATGTCTCCTCTCAGTGAGAGGGAGGAGTGGAAAGATGAGGGGAGAAAATGGAGATGCCTAACAAAATGGTTGAACCG